CACAAAGCAAAGTTAAAAACCGGCACAAAAAGACTTTAAAGCAATCATCACAGTGATTCTACTGTAGAAACATGAAAAGGTAGAACTGGAGACCACTGTTTTCCTACTCTGACAGGCAAACTTGAGTCAGCTGATTGTAGTGCAAGTAAAAATGGAACCAATAAACGGGATTGACAGGAAAACAGACTAACAATTCTATGGAACTGGACTACTGAGAACCAGTTCTCGATTCCCATCCCCAATAATAGATATTGATTTGTAAACTCGCCACAACTTGACTCGGATCGACTGGTTTTCCATTGGGTCTTGAAGTTTGGACCCAGAAACTGCTAATAATGTCAAACTCCACTTCTGGTCACAAAGTCAAACAAACACTGCAGCATCACAGAGTTACAAACTGTCTCAATTCTTTCATCTTTAATAAAATAATCAGTGTGGCTCCTCTAGCAGGTGTAAAAATTAAGTTTAATTTATGAAGTTTAATGGAGTCTGAAGTTAGCTCGCTAGTTTCTATTTAAAGATTATATACCATGTTCTGACTGAGGGATTTCTGAAAAATTAAACTATTATTTCTGTCATTTATGTTAAAAAACTAAACAGTAGTGAGGTTTGTAGTGTTACTGAAGTCAACTACCTGGCATACAATGATGTGCTACGTGGTTGCTAGGTACGCAGCTATGGTTAACATAATATAAACACCGTGAAGCTGGAGGATGACTGCTAACTTTTTTCACTCCATAAAAGTTAACATGACCATTCCCAATGGTTAGGGACAAATGCAATCGCATGGCAGGATGCAGTAAATGGGTCAAACTTTAGTCAGATGAACATTTGAGAATCCAACCACAATATGATGTTAGTCATTAATATACTGCTGCATGGGCAAAGGTTTTTAAATGTGCTGCCGATGCAAAGTGCTAATAAAAACTAGCAGCAACCCAAGCGCATTGCTGCCCCAGACAGGTCAGGAGTGCAAATTGAAAATCATTTTTTCTGTTTAAATTTAAACCTGCCATGGTGGCTTGTCTATTGCTCAAATTTACAAGCCACTTCATAAATTTACCTGCATTTTCCCAGTGGTGGGTGCCAATTTCCACCCCTGAATACAATGCATTTTTGGGGTCAATCTTTAAAAAAAGAGAAAAGAAAAAAAAGGCAAATGTGAAATATAAAAATGAGATCAGAGGTCAAACGTGTTGGATCAAAACTATGTGATATTTAGAATCACTATTTACCAGTATAATTTTCTAAATGTTGCCAATACAAACACAGAAGTAGAATTTTAAGCATAGTTTTAAAGATGAAGCATTTTATGAAAGGTTGACATAATGAAAATTTGACCTTATTTGACCTTGAAGAAGCAGTCAAAGGTCCAAAGTAACATATTTGGAAACTTCATGTTTTCGAGGTGTCCCTTTCTGCAAAGATTTCAGTCAGAACTCTCATACCTTGTTCAATGTAACTGAAAGGGATAATGCTCCAAGTGTTGATAGCTTTGTTTTGGATGCAGGGTTTTTGACTAACTCTGTCCTTTTAAAAAGAACTTAATGGCATTCACAGCTTGGCCAGAAAGCTAATGCTGATAAAGTGGCAATCCTCAGCATCACCTACCTACTTATACAAGGTGGAATAGGGGGTCCTTTATTTTATTAAATTTCAGGTTAAAAGTGCAAATCAGTCAAATCATTACCAAGACTGCCTATGGATATAGACGATGGAATGGAGTAAACGTTAGCCACTTCTGCTACCTGGATACATGCATGGAACTTGCATGAAACCCAGTAACAAGGTGGCTGGCACAGTTTACAGGAACATGTGTGCAGAGTGTGGCCTGGAAGTCCCAAGATCAAAATGGAATATGCCCCTCAGGGTGGTTGAAAATGACCAAGCTAAAATCTTGTGGGATTTCTAGATACACACAGACAAACTGGCAATGGCTAACCAACCAGATATATTACTAGTGGACAAGCAGAGGGATAAAGCCATAGTAGTACATGTAGCTATACCAAATGAAAGCAAAAATCAAGAAAAAGAAATACGTAAAGCTTGAGAAATGCCAAGGGCTCAGAGGGGAGCTAGAGAATAAGTGAAGGATACAGGCAACAGTGGCCCCTGTGGCATTCAGAGCACTTACAGCAGTGACTCCCAAACTGGTCGAGCGGTTCCAGCAGGTCCCAGGAGTAACATTCAAGATCTGTCCAGAAAGGACCAGCAAAGATGCTACACATGAAGCTCCCAGGCTTTATGTGTAGCTTTTATGTGTTGCTGTTAAATCCAAGGACAACACACTCACTATATAAAGGTCACAATGGAAGCAACAAGCTGTCAAATGAAGAGCTGTCCTTACAAGTCAGACAAGTCTTTATTGGTTCCTTTCCTGGCCTTATAGTCAAGACTCTCTACAAACTGTAAACTCGTCTCTTACTGTGACCTTGGCTGTTCAAACAGGAATGATAAAACTATTTTACATGTTATAACCCTTACGTCATGCCAGCACAGACAGACTGGTGTAAAATTATTATGTAGCCTCAAAAGACCTCCATGCCAACAAGTTTAGTGTCACTTAATTCCCACCTGTTTGCGTTTAAACTTTATTCTTCATGTCATACATTTTCCAATATCCCTTTAATCATCATCATGCGTGTTAAATGAACCTTTGGACTCACTGTCATCACTAAGAAAAATTAACAATGAACGTGACAGTTTTTACATAAATGAAAACCAAATTATTTTATGTAAACAAACGTGAGTTACAAAGCAAATTACAGACAGATCGGGATATTAATACAGTAGGCTGTCAAGTATTGCATGCCCTGTGGCCAAAAGTCAAGACCTTACAGGAGCCATGCTGCTACCAACAACTTTAAACTTAGGTGGCGTTGATAGTTGCTACAGACACATACCAGTCCAGTTTACATGTGACCAAAGCCCAGTGATGTACAGAAGGTGCGCCTCAACACCCCAGCTGTCTTTCAGCAACGACTCAATAAATGCTAAAAGCGTTCAGCTAGCTATGTCTTAATACTACAACTGCAGGACATTGTGTAGTTCCCAATAATGATAGTGGTGATGCTTTCTGTCCCACTAAATAAATAAAAATAATAATAAAAACAAAACAAAAGCGTGGCGTGTGGTCATTCACTCCATCGTCACACACCGGCTAACACAATTAGCTAGCTAGGAAGTACAAAGGCCACAATGTGAACCTTCATAGATAATTCTCGAAGTTTAACGTTACATGACTATATGGTAAGGAAAAATTAATTCGTTGTGATACCAAAATACCACTTTCACTTATGACTCAAGCGATTCATTTTGTCTTTATAAGGTTATCCCTCACAGTTCTTTGCATTAGCCAACTAAAACCTAAACAACCTTCGAAAGAAGCGCAAAAATATATGCTTAGACCCTCATAGGCAGGCAGCAATTTATAACAACTTTAACTTACGATACGCTGACAGGTCCTTTTTAATGCCGAATTTTTTCAGATTCTACAAAATATCCAACAGCGAAGTTGTGCCCCGTACTAAACTGAACAACCTGCAGCCAGTAAGATGTTAAATCCCATATAACAAATGCATAAAGGGAGTTTGGCACCGTCTGGGACGAAATCGTGTAGCAGAGATGGCTGTGACCTAATGCAAACACGAAATACAGCATGGCTGTTTAAGGAGGCCGCAGTGCAGGATACAAAGCATGAAGTTAGCTACCTAGCAACCACAGTGGCTTTGGTGTTTATGAAAATTAACGCTAGCTAAACATGAAAAAATATAAGCTAATGGCACGTTCCCTCCACTGTGTTATTTTTAGACTATGTTGGTAGGTGGCTACATTATTAAAGCCACTTCAGAGTTTCATATCCCCGAATTACAGACGTACTGGGCCACAACATAAAGCTGTGTGATACATAGTCGTTAACTATACCCAACTGCACCAACGAGGGGGAATCTGTAATCGATGCAGGGGTAAAGGACATTTGAAGCCAAAGACTGTCAATGCCCCGCATGGGCCTTAGACCTTCATGCTAGCCTGCTAGCCGGCCTGGCGACAATGACTGCCAACTGTGGGCCAAAATGCATTTATTATTATCCGAGAAGCAATGCTCCTACGTTGGCACGTGCACAGCTCAACAAAACGAAGCAAGTGCGGAAATTTAACTTCTACAACAGAAGCTACATGTGCTGTTCTGAATGGCAAGTTAGGAGGAGTTGCTTTGTAGGCTAGTTTTTCAATGACATGGGATCACATGGTGACACAATAAACATTTGACGACCCACAGAGAACAGTAGAAATGCCAGTGAATGTTTTTTTCCCTGAAACATACTCACATAAATGTCAATGAAACTGAATCAAGCAACCATGTACGCATTAAATAGAAAACTAAAAGCTAACAGTCTCTTTTTCAGTGTGCCACTTCCTTCACGGACTAATTATTTTACTTACAATGTTTTTGGGTCCTCGGTACCGCAACGATGATAGCAACACTAACAACGTGAGCTTTTTGAAACATACGCTAGTGGAAAGTCACACTCTCCTCCCCACGTGTTTGACAGACCAGTACCAGTCTTAAAAAAAAGAGAGAGGAAAAAAAAACACGCAGACATAACAGCTGATCAATTCTCGCGATACTCTAAAGTTTAAGCCGCTTGGAGTCTTGCGTCAACTGAGAATGCAGTAAAGGTAAACGTTTCTTCTGTTAAGCTCATGCAGTTTCACAGGTAGATTCACATCATCCTGGTCACTTTTACTATAAAAAATACGAAAAAAAGAACATTCGAGTACAGATGGGACAAAGCACCGCGTTCATATAATTTTACTATATAAATGAATCCCATCACATTAAGGCAAATGTCACGTTAGAAATAGCACAATTTTACAAACGGAAGGATTTGCACCTTGTGTGATAAGTAAAATTAAATTGGGGCATGTCTTTTTAATACAATTTTCTGCTGGACAACCTTGAGTCATGGCATTTATTTATTTATTCATGTCACTTTACATGGTTGCAGACCAAGA